GAAGAGAATGCTATAATCTGTCACTCTGGGCATGCTATCTCTGCCAGCCCATAGGCAAATGAAATTGTAGCTGGCATATGACCAGATATGCTAGGACCTATAAAAAAAACATTTTTCAAAAATTTAATTAAGTGTCTTAGGTAATATCCAACTTATGAGAAACTACTTTTCTCATAATTTTAAACAAGAAAATCTAACAGAGGGAAACATGTAAACATTAGTGAATACATTTACAAGAATATTTTTAAAGGATTTATTTTACCCATTTAAAAAAAAAAAAAGCAAATGCAGAACACAGAAAAATAGTACACCTCAGATTTCCCAATACTCAACAAGATTTTTATAGTCCCAACAGAGCGAAAAAGCAAAGAACAAAGAGTTTCATAGCCTTCAATAGATTACTTGCATAGACACTATTACACATAAAAATTCCAACAACTTGGTAATTTTAAAACAAGCTTTGAAAAACTAAATACCATAGTGCCCTCTACTGTTATTTTAAAGGAATATAATCTGTATAATAAACTAGTTTTTAAATTTGTGAAACCAATTAAAAAAGCTCTGCCCTGGCCAGTCAAGGATGCCTACCTCAGTTGCAGGATCTATTCCTGGTCCCAGCCCATTTGGGCACATTCGGGACACAATCAATTAATGTGTCTCTTTCATGTAGATGTTTCTTTCCCTCCCTCCCTTCTCCCCCTACTTCCCTTCCTCTCTCACTCTTCCCTCCTTTTCACTCTCTCTAAAAATCAATGGGAAAAATATCCTCAGGTGAGGATTAACAAAAAAAAAGAAAAAATAATACATTCTAAATAATAAAAAAACAGCTCTTCTTTATTAATATTATAGTAAACTTTTACCTCATAAAGAGAAAAAAAAAAAAACTTGTATGTCGGATTGCTTCAAATATAAATAACAATAATATTCTCATACTCCCAAAAGTTGTTTTTATCACTATAGTTATTTTATAACTGCCTTCAGGAGTAGAGGAAGGATAAGTTTAAAAGATAAAATCATGTTATAGGAAAGGAAGCAACTCTATAAAGAGAATAAAATCTTTAAATGAGATTTCAGAGACCTGTGCTCCAGAGGTCTAAAGCAGTGCTCTCTACTCCCCAACCCCTCCCCTTTGACAAATTTGCCTTTCTGACTGAAAAGTGAGACGCCACTTATACAAATGAGAAGCTGACCATAGGCAGGTAAAGGATTCAAGAGATAAAAGCTCTATCTTAAAAAGAAAAAAAAAAAGACAATTAAAATTGCTTCTCCCCCACTAACCCCCAAAAATGTGCTCATCCCAAAGTAACTAAAAGTAGTCATAGACAAAAAAAAAAAATGAAAAGAATTGATGGATTTTAAGACAAACACTTCTTTCAAAGTATTTATTATATGCAACAGGGGAGGGGGGGGGAGAAGCAGCCATACTATTCATTTCAGTATAATTTATTATTACTTGGTATACTAATAAAAATATGAAAGCTAAAGTAGCTATACCTCTTAGTAGAAATCTGACCTTGAGAGTCTATAAAAGGGAATAACTATTTAATTCATAAAGTTATCTTATGTACTGAATAAAAATATAGATGTAAAAGCACTTGTAACCCTTGAACTCTTTAAGTAATGACAAATTTTAGACTATACTATTTCTGAATATGTTTTCTCACTACATAAGCACTAACAGAACTATGAATTATTAATTTGGGGCAGATATACTTTAAAGAATTAATATGCTTTGATGTTTTTTAAGAAAACTTCTATCAGAGGGTAATAACTAACTCTTATTTTTCTTGGGGAATATAAATCAAACATTTAGAAAGCTCTAATGCGATTTTTTAAATTGGTCACTCCTCTTTGGAGACTTAATTAAGATTATGAAAAAAAATTCCTTTTTGACATATATCATCTTTGCTCAACTTTTAACATATAATTAGCTTACAAAGCAATCTGTAAATCAGTTAGCTTTCCACATATATTACTAATGAACTACTTCAAAGAGTAAACATATTTTCTATACTAACAGAAAAAAGAACATTACCTTAATAATTTCCTCTTAGGAATATGATACTTTTGAAATCCACAAAAAAATTAAACTTGCAGATTATCTAAATTTTTACCCTAAAAATTATCATCAATAACCTAGTTGATTTTAATTTTTTAATCCTCACCTGAGGATATCTTTGTTTCTTTATTGACTTTAGAGAGGGGGGGAAGAGAGAGAGAGAAACGTGGAGTGATCAGTTGCCTTCCATATGTGCCCCCAATTGGGGAATGAATTTGAAACCTGGCTTTGTGCCCTAACCAGGAATTAGAAATTATGACCTTCCAGTGTATGAGACAATGCTCCAAACAATTGTGCTCCACTGTCCAGGGCTAACTTAGTTGATTTTAAATTTATCAAAACAGTTTGTTTTCTAATTCTAACTAGATACCAATTCAACAATCTTTATTTCAAACTGCCTTGGGGGAGAGATTAAAAATGGCAGCAAAGTAAGTGGATGTTACACAGACAAGCTCCCAAGACCAAACTGATATTAGAACTGAAATATAGAACTTCCTAAACATATATATATATATGAAGAAAGAAAGAAAAACTTCCTGAATAATCAACAAAAGACTTGCTAGAGTGAACCCTAATAACCAAGGATTGAAAGTGGAGACCACATAGAAATTGGGGTGGGGGGTGGGGGGGCAGATAGGGGGAGGGGCACGCAAATGTAAAAAAGGGCTGGCTGATCTCTAGCAGACAACAATTGAAATTCCAGAGAAATATCTCAGCTGTAAGGGGTTGCCACTGAGAACTATAGAGTCTAATTCCCAAGCTGGGCCCCCCAGCAGAAAGTACTAGAACTGAGAAGGGTACCTCATAACATCTGGCTATGAAAAGCAGCAGGGTTGCTGTCTGCCAGGAAAAATATAGCCGGAAATTCAGGTACCCTCTTCAAGGGCCAACACACAAAATTCCTTGTTGAGCCACCACCTTGTGCTCTGGCAGAAGGAGGCCAGAGTGGACTGGAGCTGTGTGAGCAGAAGCCAGGATTAGGGGTTGTGGGGTTAGAGCTCAGACACTCCAGTTTCCTATGCTGAGTCATTCCCTCAGGCTGTGGAGGTCATCACAGACATTTGCTATACAGGCAACCTTGCCTGGGGGAAGACAGTTGATCCACCCTATCAGAAAACATCTTGCCTCCTGCTGTGGAGTTGCTCAGGCTCATTAAGAGATTGAAAATAACAATTAGCCTTCAAGCAGAAGCAATTGTTAGACTCTGTTGAAAAAAGCTCTTGAAAATCCTATCAGTCTGTAGACAGAGACGGTCTCTGGAGACTTTGAGTCTTTGCCTAATCTAATTAGTCAGGAGCAGCATTTGATACTGTCCTGCACTAGAGATTGAGAGGCACAGCAGATCTACCTAAAACATCTACCAAATAGGCAACCAAAATGAGGAAACTAGGAAACAACACACAAAAGAACGAACAAGAGAATTCTCCAGAAGAAGAGATAAATGGATAATAGAAATTTATCTGATACAGAATTCAAAATAATGATGGTAAAGATGCTCTACAACGTAAGATATGAAAACAGAAATAAAGAATGACATAGCACACATGTGTCAAACACAAGGCCCGCGGGCCAAATCCGTCCCGCCAGGCCTTGCAATGTGGCCCGAACCGCGCTGTCATCACTGCACTCCGCTGCGTTTCCATCACAATGACAGTTTATGACTGTTCAGTAAACCATTCGGCCCGCGATTTAGGCTGGATTTTAGATTTTGGCCACTTCTCTGATTGAGTTCGACACCCCTAACATAGCACAAATAAAGAAGACATTGGAAGAAATACACAGCAGATTAGGAGATGCTAAGGATCAAAACAGTGAATTAGAAGACAGGGTTGAAAAAAATCAGAGAACCAAAAAGAAAAAAAAAAAACAATTAAAAAACAGGAGGGAGTTGTGGGAAAATATGAAACATAATAATATTCAAATAGCAGGGGTGCCAGAAGAAGCAGAAAGGGAGAAATGAATAGAGAACGTGTTTGAAGAAATAATAGTAGAAAGCTTCCAAAAAGCCTAGTAAAACGTGGACAGAAAAGGATCCATTGGATTTCACCTCATGGATATTACTGGTGACTTGAGTGAGAGCCATTCTGGTGACTAAGTGTAGTGTGATTGTAAGTGACCAAGCAGGGGCACTATCTAATAGTTAAATTGTGACGGGCCACAGTGAGATAGGTGATAGATGGAGACCTTAATGTAACCAAGAAAAAACGATCCAGAACACCCAGGACATAAAGAGAATCGTGTATCTCAATAGCAAAAAGTTCAAACAAGCGGGGAAAGCAATCCTCCCGTGTACCAGCCCAATGGAGTACTCCTGGAAAATACCTGAACAACTGCGCACACTGTGAGCACTCAATCATGTTAGTTGTTGTTGGTGGTGGTGGTGCTGCTGCTTATGTAGTCAATAATCTCGTCATTGGCCTCCAAGAGACCAGGTCTGTTTTATCCACGCCTGCATCCCCCAGGACCCAGCACGGTGTCTGGCAGACAGGGGGTGCTCAAAAATATTTCCGAGGGAATTTAGTATTCTGAATATAATCTTCACGCCTCTCATGGCCACTTGGGTTTTTCTGTCCCCCAGGGGATTCTGCTTTGTTTTTACGTGTGAGATGACTGTCGCTTATGCATAAAGGTGTTCACGATCACAACAAGTACTACTGCCACGAAGCCTTTCTTTCCCATCGCTCGGAAGTTTCCGGACCGCAGACCTGAGGGCTGCTTCTCACGTGACGCGCTCAGGGTCCCGCGGGAAGTGAGGCTGCACAACACCGAACTCAGAGGAGCGGCTTCTGGCAGAAGGGTATTGACAAGGATGCGCCCAGGCTGCAAGCTCAGCCGGGGGCCCGCACCCTAAAGCGCTGAGAAGCCTGAGCCAGAGGAGCGCTCGCCCCGCCCCGTGTCCTTCTCCCCGCCCCCCGCCTCCTTCCCCTCCCTCCCCCGTCACCTGCACCGGCTGCACTCCGGCCTCCGCTCCGCCGGCTCCACCGGCAGCGCCCACAGCCCGTCCGCACAGGCGTCCGCCTCCTCGCCCAGGGCCGCCGCCGGCGCCTCGCCGCCCTCCCGCCGCGCCTCCTCCTTCAGCAGCGCCTGGGACTCTGAGGCCGGCGGCGGCGCGGCCTGATCCCGGGCTGTTCGCGCCTCTTTCTGCGGGTCCATGGCCGCGACGCGGCTCCGGCTGTCCCACCGAGTCCCCGCTGCCGCCAGGGGGCGCCACACGCTAGAGAACCCGGCTCGCGCGGCCCGCCGCCACGCACGCACGCACGCACGCACGCCACGTCCGGGGGCGTGCCTCTGAAGTTTACGCCCCCCATGGTCCCGCCCCTCAGCGGAAGTGTGGGTGGTCCGGGGGGGGGGGAAACTGAAGTTAGGTTAGCGTCCTGGGGCAGGTGAAGGAGTGCCCTTTGAAAACAGTGAATCGTCCTTAAAGTCCCTTCTTTAAAAGTGAAAATAAGATGGAATTCAGCCTTTTCCGCCTTAGCATGGCCCCTGAGGAATTGGCTAGGGAGTGTTCACAGCAGTTGCAGCAGCTGATGAACGTGATAGCTAAAGGCCAACCCAGGAGATGCACTCACTGAAAATGGGATTCACTGAAAATTGGGTTCACTCTTGCCTGATTCTTGCGAATTTCTTACTCTAGAAAGGCAGGGGCCTGTCCTGTATCTTGTACTTGCCTTGGTATTTCTCTCAGCATCAAGCGTACAGTAGACACCAAGTATTTGCTAAAGGAAGTTTTAAATTTTCCAAGGCCCCTAAGATCAGGAGGCTATAGAAGGGTTGAAATTTTATGGATGGGGTGGGGGGGGAGGGTTACCATAGAAAGAAAACTACCTTGCCCAAGTTTTTACAGCTCCTGGGTAACAGCAGCAGAGCCCGCAGTTGTTTAAAAGCCAAAATGAAGTCCACCTTAGAATGAAAGGAAATTCCACTCGCCCAAAATGATACTGCTTATTTTAATTTATTAATACTTCATGTTACTTCCACCAATAAAGTAGATTTACCACTAACAGTAATAGAGCAGTATTATATTTCTTAAAAGTGTTTATTTCACTATTCGGTTTTCAGTAATGTAAAGTCAAGTGTGTGAATAGACTAGAGGGCTGTTTTTATCTGGTATTCTCTTCCCCTGCAAACAGCAGGCATCATTTCTTTTGGACTACTGCTGTAAGGGAGGGATAAGCAAAGGCTGAAGCATGCACGGGTGATAGATGTAGGATAAGAGAAAGAACTGGCACTTGTGCCAGCTGGATTTGTAAGATAATCAAAACCCAAAGACTGTAGAAAAGAAGATGAATCAAAAATAAATATTGGCTGTAGATTTAGGTTGGAGAACCAAGTCTTTAACTACTAAAATTAAATGACATATGACAACCTTTAAACTCTCATTTCCAGTTTCAAGATGTGAAATGTTCCCTTTAGGTCATTTATGGTCCCTTTGAACTCCCAATTATGAGGTATGTGAAGGCAGGTGAGTCCTGACAAACCTACTTATACTTGACTTAACACCCCATGTCAAATCACTGGTTCTACCCTTCAAAATATTCAAAATGCAACCATTTATCACTTCTTCTGTGCTGGTTCAAGTCCTATCATCTCTTGCTTAGGATTTTACCATAGGGTCATAAGTGCTCCCTTGCTCCATCCTTGTTTCTGAATAACCTATTTCCCAGAGGTTGATCAGAATCAAAGAACCGAATTGGGAGAGAGAGAGAAAAAAAAAAAAGTTGTTTCCCTGTATGGAAAGCAAGAAATTCACCCAATATCCAGCTTTAAGAAGCCTGACATTAAAAGCCTGGGGAAGTGTATTACCTACCCAGCTGGCTGCTACTTTATGTGAGGTTACTAGCCTGAGACAGACCCTGGTATAAGAATAAAGACCATCAGTGACCCAACCTCTGGGAAATGCCAAGATACCAAGATGGGGAGCCAAAGTCCTTTAAGGGATACAACCAATTTGTCAGTGCAGGAATGTGGTTGTTATTTACTTGCTGGCTGTCAACAGAGGGTTGTTCCCATCTTCTAGAGGGAACCCATGTTCCTTGACTTGTAGGGAAGGCAAACTGTTATCTTTATTAAACCTCTTAGGGTTCCTTTTGGCTGGGTTTGAGAATTAAATTGACATAATACAAATCAACAGAAGAAAAGCATACACATTTACTTAACAAGCTTTTCATGACCTGAGAGCTTTCATGAGGCACAAAGACCCAAAGAAATTGTGAAATCAATACACTTTTATATTAGAACAAAGAGAAGCAAATGTGAAAAAGTGACTCAGCTATGTGGGCAGGCTTAAGGAAGATAGGAATTATGTTAACAAACTCTGTTTATATGGAATTCTCTTTATCTCAACTTCCTGCCCTTGATGATTAGTACGTATTTTCCTTATGGTATAGGGAGGGCATCTTTCATATAGATATTTCATCTACTGCTTTTAAAGAAAATCTAAGTATTTTTCTTATATTTGCTGTTTTTCAAGAGCTTTAAAGACAAAATAGTCAATATACCAGAGCAACATATATTTGGGGTAGCATATTCTAAACTCCTTCTGGCTCATGATCCCCATGCTACAGCATCAACGCCAGTAGTGGCAGGTTGAGTCCCTCTCATGATTCGAATCTCTCCTGCCTCTTCCTAATAGTCGCATCTCTCTGACTTCCTTTTCTACTTCCATTTCCACCCAAGTAACCAAGTATAGTCTCCCTATTTTGCTAACTGCTTAGCAACCTAATTCCATCTGCAACCTTAATTCCATTTTGTTGTGTAAAGTAACATAGACATAGACATAACACCATGGAATGCAGATCATGAGGGCACAAATCTTGCCTTCCACTTTTGCACATCTAAAGTTTAAGGTTGCAAATTCATATAATCTTTATGTGAAAAAAATAAAAATTTATATGCCAAAAATATTATTGATATTTATATCAAGGTACTAGGATTAGAGGTTTCTCAGAGAGTGTTTTTCTTTATCTTACAAATATTCTGCCCAATGGCCATGTGAACCTTATTTTTAGAAGAAGAATGTGGAACATTAACAACTAGACATCAAAACCTAAAATGTTATAAAATGTCAAGTAATATAAGGGAAAGGTGGCTTCTGTGGGATACCTTTTCTTAAAAATATATTTCTGATTTTTTTTAAACATTTAAAAAAATATTTTGTCTTAGTAAGAGATATTATCCTGTATGCTATTAGTTTGTGAAATGCCTACTCTGAGCCTATTGATTTCAGAGAGGAAGGGAGAAGAGGAGAGACAGAAACATCAATGGTGAGAGAGAGTCATTGATCATCGCCTCCTGCATACCCCTTACTGGGGACTGAACCTACAATCAGGCATGTACCCTTGACCAGAATCGAACCTCTGACCCTTCAGTCCACTGGCCGATGCTCTATCCACTGAGCCAAACTGGCTAGGGCTTTCTGATCTTTTTAAAAAAAGTATATTTTATTGATGTTTTACAGAGAGGAAAGGAAAGGGATAGAGAGTTAGAAACATTGATGTTAATCAGCTTAACAATAACCCACAACCTTTGGACCAACTAGAAACATCGATGAGAGAGAAACTTCGATCAGTTGCCTCCTGCACAGCCCCTACTGGGGATATGCCCCTAACCAAGGTACATGTCCTTGACAGGAATCAAACCTATGGACTGAAGGTTGACGCTCTATCCACCGAGCCAAACCGGTCAGGGCTCTAATTTTTTTTTTTTTTTTTTTTAATGTAAATGGGTAGTGAGCCCAGGGAGCCTAATATGTATTACATGTTCCTTAAGTACATCTATAATGGTTATTTTGACATAAATTGTTCTTAAATGACCTAGGCGATGATGAAGATGTGATGGTCTCTTCCTCAATCCTTAAGGCCTGGACCATTTGCTGCTCCTTCTAACTCCAGTGAAGAGGTTGAAATTCTTTTTCTCAGGGCAGGGCCTTCCTTCAAATTCATGCCTTTCACCCAGCTTCTCTCCCAGGTCACCTGCACCATCTCTTCATTTGTTATACCATCGGTTTAGTGCCTTTTCTCCCTTTTCTTCTTCCTTTCCTGACACCAACTCTATATAAAAATGTCCTGAATGTTCCTGCCTGTGTTTCTTCAAGGATCTATTCTAATGTTTGTATTTCCTGGCTGTCCAGTTTTGCTTTTATCTTAAGTCTAGGTTTAATTAACTTGGAAATTTATTGCCCCTTATCTACACATATTTTTGAACTTCTGCTCACAGGTTTATTTTTTAAAGTTTCTTCTTCGCTTAGATTTGTTTGTTTTACAAATTAATACTGTAACAGGAGACACTTTTACATTTTGACGTGAATATCCTTACTGAGTATTAAATAATGAAACTATAAAACTACAATTCAAACAACTAGCAAATGTTTAAATTTAACTATTTGAATTAAACAAAAATGTAACTATTATTAGAAACAACTAATTTAGGAGCAGGAAGAGAGCTTAAAGATCATCTGAGATAGTACTTCTCCACCCTGGTTTACATTTGAATCACCTGATGGGCCCCACAGGCAGCTAATGTAAATAAAAGAAAAATCTTTCAGGTAGTCTTGTAAAAAATAATAATAATAATAGATGGAGCCACGTTAAAATGGAGCCAGAGCTGCCATTCCAGAGTCGCTGCCCAGAGTTGCTGCCTCAAATCTTTGGAATGTTAAATTGGGGCAAAATCACCTTTGGACTGGGCCTGAAACAACATTGTGTCCCAAAGAAGTATTTGCAAAGATAATAAGAAAGCAGATGTTATGACTATAAGACTGATGACTCACAGACTGAAAATTTTTTAGAATTAGTACCCCTTTGTTAGCTTTTCTGTATTCACAGGAAGGCCTTTCTCTGCTGATTAATTGTCCTTCTTCCCTTTCTCATAAACACCCCTTGCTTTTTCTCTTTATCAGAACATTTTGTGGGCTTCTATCTAAATCATGCTTCCTGAATAGATATTATTTTTGGTCTCAAATAAATGCTTGTTGCCCCTTACTTTGAAATTCATTTTACTTTTAGGTCACAATCTCCAACAAAGCAATTTTTTTTTTTTTTTGTGCCTCCCAGATAACTATTTTGTTATTTTTAGAACAATTTAATAATGTTTATAGGCTCTATTTATTGGCCATAAATACACCTGTAATTTGGGGATTTATATAACACTAGAGGCCCAGTGTAAGACATTCATGCACTGGAAGTAGGAGGGTCCCTCAGTCAAGCCAGCACCCTCTCGCACTCCGTGACCCTCAGGGGATGTCCAACTGCTGG